CTTGGCTAGCCCACAACAGCGGTAACGGGGACCCTAGGTAGGGACAAAGGCTCATGTTCACCTCATGGGAGGCAGAGAGGAGCCATTCCCTCGGTCCACACTTGTTTCCCAAGATGGGCTTCCTAGTGCTCGCTTCGGCAGCATATATACCAAGATTGGCTTCCTAGTGATTCCGGGAGGTACAGGACAACGGCCACCAGGCTGTGGCCCTCTGTAGGCTGCCAGAGAAAGTATAGTTCAAATAGTTTTTAGTACAGTGTGTCCCATGCATACTGATGGTTATCTGAACTCAAATTTAACTGAACATCTGGTAGTTTTATTTGTTAAAATCTGACAACCTTAGTCTCATGAGCAAGTCATCTCACCTCTCTGAGCCTCAGTTTCTTTACCTTTGATATGAATTGAAATGCTACTCTGTTAGGATACTGTGTAAATTAAGTGGGGTGATATATGCAAACTGCCCAACCCAGGGGAGGTAAATTTGTGACACCAGCAAATCTTGCCTTCAGAGCGCCCCTACCCAATCCTTTTCCCCCTCCACACTCCTCTCCCTTTCAGAGTCTCTGCTGTAGAGCCCCGGTCCCTAGGGTGCCGGCAGAACGTCTTCAGAAAGGTTTCTGATGTGGTAGAAATAACTCTCCACCTGCTGGCTGTGTGACCTTATGAGAGAGAACACTTACCCTCTCTGAGCCATGGTCGCCTCATCTATAAAAGAGGCTGGTCCTAGTACTAGCTGTCTGGAGTTGGGACAATGAAATGAGGCAGTGTATTAAGTACTGGCAGCAAGCCTAGTGGTGGGGCTTACTAAGAAGTGAGTGACGGTTAACATCTTGCGGATGCACCAAGTTACAGCTCCAATTTCAAAACACCCCAAGACGGCAATGCCTGCAACCCGTGGACAGAATGGGTAACGTTGGAATTTCAGGCCAGGTGATGGGCAGATGGGGGAGATCATTTCTGCATGGCTGGGGGCAGGGGCACTTCCCTTGTTCCACCTGCAACCCTGGCATCATGTAAGCTCCTTGGAAGGGGGCACCCCTCTGGCCTTCTAGGTGCCACGCCCCCTGCTGTGGGTCCCACTAACCCTCAGAACCCAGGGCCGGGCCACCACAAGGCAGAGGCACTATGTCCTTGAGTCTTCCACAGCCTGCTCTGTCTGCGTCCCACACTCTCTTGATCCCCTTCATCTTTTTACCTCTCACCTGCCTGCGTGCTTGATGGCTTCGATTAGCACCTTTCCTGCCTGTCCCCACTGGGTCTCCCTGTTGTTGGGAGGTTCTCTCGGGCTCCACCTGGCCCCTCGGGGCATCCAGGATGCTGGGCTCTGGCTGGCACCAAGGTTACAGGGAGCTTGTTTTCTCTCTGTTTTTCTTCACCCTCCCCCAACGAAATCACTTTTGCCTCGTTTTGTCTTCCTTTCCCATTTTCTTTCCCAAACTTCTCAACTGGCCACTGCGCCCAGGCCCCCTGACCGGCCAGTAGGGGAAGAAGGAGGAGACAGGACTTTTGTTAAGTGCCTGCCCCGCACCAGGGACAAGCTATGCTTGTCACAGTTTGAGGCCCTGATGGTCACTGCAGACACAGGATTCTCTCGTGCAAGAGCACACAGTGAAAGGAGGGCAGATGGTGAATTTGAACCCACACCGCCTCTCATCCCCCCAACAAATTATTTGTTTACAATCCCCTCCGTTTTTCATAAGACAATCCCCCAAAGCGCTTTTATCTGCCGAGAGAGGCAAAGAAGAAAGAGTGTGCACTGAAGATGAGTGTCAGGCTCTGACAGCTCTCCCTCCCCAGTTCCCACGCCCCCAACCTTGCCAAGGAGAACCCTGATCCTATGGGGTGGCGAAGAAGGAGAATACAAGGAGAGACCCTGGAAGGCCCAGGAGGAGGGGAAGGATTTATCTCCCAAAAAAAGACGGGACTAAGACAATCTCCATAATAGAAAGCAAGGGGGAGTAGAGGGGGGAGAAGGAGAAAAAGAAGTTCAGGCAGAGAGGGTCCAGGTTTGCGGTTTTTTTGAGGGAGGGGGTGTTGAAGAGAGAGGTGTGTGGCAGGGATGAAGAACAGGGTACAGCTATGCCTCCTTCGTGGTGCTCGAACAGCGCAGCAGAGAATGGACTGCGAGCACGCGTGGGGGCTGGGCAGGTAGAGGGACTTGTACCAGCAGCTCTAGTCACCTTGACCAAAAATACCCACCAACGGGGAAGGGCTAGATAAGGTGTGAGAAGTGCATACAATGGAACACTACTCAGCAATAAGAAACGAACAGACACACACAATCACACGGATGAATCTCACAAGCATGTGACGGACGGGAGAGGAGCCAGGCACAAAAGACCACATACTGAATGATTTCTATTTACGTGAAGTTCAAGAACAGGCAGACGTGACCAGTGGCGACAAAAATCAGAATACTGTTCACTCTGGCAGTAGGGGGAGCCCTCGGCAATCTGCTGGGGTGAAGGAAATGTTCTATCTTGATCTGGGAGGTGGTAAAGGGTGTGTATTCATGCGCATGAAAAGCCACTGAGCGGTGCACTTAAGATTTCTGCATTTTACTGTATGTAAATTACACCTCATTTTTTTTAATGAAAAAAAAGAAATACAAGAACTTCAGAGCCACGTTATATAACAGTTGACTATCTGCATTTTGCCTAATAAGATTCAGAGAGAGAAAGAGTTACAAATACCAATTTAAATAAGATAGGAGGATGCCACTGTCACTGTACACCCTCAAGGAGCCTATTTCTGGAGTGAGCATGGACAGGGACACCTGACTGTCCCCAAGTGTGTCTCAGATCCCATGAGCCCCCCATGGCTGAAACACCCCAGCACTGTATGATTCCAGTCTTCAGAGATTCAATTCCTGTTTTTGGGGAGGTGAGGGGGGGATATACATTAGCCAGCTGGAACCCAGCTGAAGAAAGAGAACTCTGTTCTAAGGTCAAAGCCCAAACTGACAGCATAGAACTATAGAGAAGTGATCATATGGTCTCCTACGTAGTGCATTCCTAAGATTTTTTCTACAGGGATAATAATATTGATCATTTACAATTTTTACCTAATATACTGATTTTTGGAACCCAACTGACCCTCGGGTGAGATGTGACTCCATCATAATGAATTTGAGTTTTTGATTCTTGCCCAGACTCCAAACTACACCTGGGCTTCGTGTCATGACCCTTACAGGTATTACAGGGTGGGGGCTCTCACCCCTCAACTCCTGCCTCCCCTCCAGGAGTCCAAGCCCCAGAGAAGAGGAGGAATACCATCTATCCTCTCTGATGGAAGGTGTCCCTGTTGTGACATTCATGGGGCTATCGCTGACCCATTTACTTTCACACTAATGGTATGTTTATTACTATCGATGGCTTTTATTTCTTTGGCAGTGTTTATACTCTTGCAACCGCCTGATAAGTAAAATCACCCAACACTTGGAAATAAGGCAAATAGATAACCTGAGTCCTTTCAAAGTCAAATTAAAACATTGTCTAACAAGCCCTCCTAAGGGTCATCTGACACTCTAGGGGAATGTCACTTCGCTTGACTTATTATTTACTATTGATCAAGGCCCTAGTTTCGTAAAGATCGCTGTTGGCTGGTATAAAACTGATAAGTTACAAATCATTTTTGGCCGGTGGAGAAATCATGCAAATGATTTCTTTCCAATAAAGAAGATAACCCCCAACGCTATGATTTTATTGTCCTACAAATATTAACCAGTTTTGCATCTAACTTCGCAAGCTTATGAATATTCAAGAATTTGAGTTTTGAGGTTATTGTTGTTTTTGTTTTTGCTGAAATTCTCACTTCTTTCTATCCACATATAGGTGCACATAAATATTTTCTTCTCACGTCCTTCATTGAACTAGCTCTGTCATCTTGCCGCTTCCTTCATTAATAAGCTGCAAAAAAAAACCATTCACATGAACTCACTATATGTTTCTCTAAGAATGATGTATTTAAAGTTTTCTCAAAGCAAAACTATGCTTTGAGAAGGCTTTCACAGTATTTGGTTTTTCTTCTTGTCAACTCTGGTACTTTCTATGTAACCTTGGGCAAGCGTTTCTGTCTCTGCTCTTTATGTAACATGTGCTATTTCTTCTTTTTTCCCTTTTTTATTTAAAAAATGTATTTTGTTTTATTTTATTTTTATTAAATTTTTTTAAATGTCCATTCATTTTTAAGAGAGAGACAGGGAGAGACAGAATGTGAGTGGGGGAGGGCAGAGAGAGAAGGAGACACATAATCCAAAGCAGGCTCCAGGCTCTGAGCTGTCAGCACAGAGCCCAACGTGGGGCTCGAACCCACGAACCGTGAGATCATGACCTGAGCTGAAGTCTGATGCTTAATTGACTGAGCCACCCAGGTGTCCCTGTTGTTGTTTTTTGAATGTTGATAAAAGCTAATTATTAAATGTTCATCATGTGCCAAGTTTCATATGTATTTTATGCCATTAAAATGTTCTAATAATCTGATGAGGTAGAATCTGTTGTTCCCAGTTTACGAATAAGAAAACTGAGGCACCGGGAGGTTAAGTAACGTCCCAAGGGCAGCTAGGAAGTGGCCAGTCTAGAAAGCTGATTACTCAGCTTCTCATCACTACCGCACCGTCCTTTGTATTTTTCTGTATTTTCCAAGCTTTTGACGGTGAATATGTGTTGCTTTCATAATCATGAAAAAGTCATACAAGTTCCTGACTTTTTAAAAAATTCCTTCTGCCCTAATGTTCTAGGCTTCTCTGGTTCTCAGCCCCCCCGCCCCCGGACCTCCCCCAGGACCCCACCCCATCACCTCCGTCTTTGCCAACCCGTCTTGCTGTCCCTGCCCCCACGCCGGCTGGGGCTGGGGTAGGACATTCAGTGTCCCGGTCTTGCTGAGGTCTGCTTAAAATGTCCCTGGTAGGCTTCTGGCCCCTGGGCCGATGCTGGGGGCAGGTCCAGGGAAGGGGAAGGGGAAGTAGGAAGGGATGTGAAACTTGGCCACAGCCGGGCAGGCACCGCCCCTGCTGGGTGTCCCACGGGGTCCCTGGGTGGAGGACAGGAACATCCAGTTGAACGGACCGCCAGCTGAGGCAGGTGAGGCCAGCGCCTGATGGGGAGGGGGCCAGGGGAGCTGACCTGGGAGGCTGCACAACCGAGGCAGAGGGAGGGGGACGCTGGCTGCTGGTTCGGTGCCAGGACAGGGTTGCAGGCAGCACTGATCCAAGGCCCAGAACAAGTGAGTGAGGGGACCTTGATTCCTTGGGTTTGGGAGATGGTGGGAGGCAGTAACACAGACCCATCAGCTCTAGCCAGAGTCCCTAGGTTTCCGTCCCCCAGAACACAGGAAGCTGGAGAGAGGCTAGGGGCGTCAGAGCCAGCAGACGGGTCCCGTAGAGGGTACAGTGGGTGCTGAAAGGGGCCGACTGCTTAGGGGAGTGAGCACATGTGTTGTGTCAGGGGGTCGTGAATGCCTGTGTGTACGCACAGCTCTGCCATTTGGGTGACAGAGTGTTAATTAAATAAGGCGTAGGTGATCAATAAATATTTGTTCCATGGGATTGATCATCTGTAGGAGTACGCGAATGTGTGCGTCTGGGTAAGTGAGGGATGGAGTCTACTTGGGTGTCATTCGGTGCCTCCAGGAGGGTGTCGTGGATTCTGGGTTTGCTCGCTGTGTTGTGTAGGTGCAGGATGAGAGGCTGTGTTTGTGTGTCTGAGTAAGTAACCAGAGGGGTGTGCTCAGCTGTGTGTGTGTATCTGGGCAAATTTCTGGTTCTTCGTATGTGTGTGGGGTCCCTGGAGCTGGGGGGCAGGCAGACTTGGGAGGCCCTTGAGGGAGTGTCTGTGCATCAGTGGGGGGTGTGTGTACCTCACTATGGGTGTGGAGTTCAGGTGCGTGAGTTGAGTGTGTGTGAGTGTGTGATGCCCAGCTCAGCCTCACGTCTCCACAGTGGCACCATGGAGGCCCCCTGGGGCTGGCTGGTGGTCTGTGTGCTGGCCACATCCCTGACCTTCACAGTGACCCAGGACGTGTGCCGAGCACCAGATGGGAAGGCTGGGGCCCCAGGAAAGCCTGGCCGACCTGGACAGCCAGGCCTCAAGGGGGAGCAAGGGGAGCCAGGTGAGTACCTGCGTCTGGACCCCAGCCCCTCCTCCCTTGGTCTGGTCTGGCCTCCGTGCCAAGAAGCAGCAATCCGGCTGGGCTCCCATGTGATGTCCATGCACTCTGCACTTGGTCCCAGGGGCTAAGGGGGACTTAGCCTTAGCCTTCTCTCTGGACGTTTCCCCAGGCTGCCAGGCCCCTCCATATCCCCCTTAGTGCGTGAGTCCTCTTTCTTCAGCCTTGCCTTCCTTCTCTGGAGGAGGGACCACTACAAGCAAGGAAAAGAAAGGTCTTGGAGCAGTGCACAGTCCTGGGCTGTTGCTACGTTACCCGCGTGAATAAGGTGCTAGCCTTTAGACTCAGGAAACTTTTCCTGCTATGTGACCTCAAGCAAGTTACTGACCCTCTCTGAGCCTCAGTTTCTTCATCTGTAAACCGAAGAAATAACCCTGCCTGGCACATAGAGGATCAATGAACGGCAACTGTCCTTCTGGCTCCCTTCCAGCCATCCCCACACCCAACTCTGTCCTGCTTCCCCATCCCCAGCCCCTTCAGGCTTCAGAAACTCACATTCTAGAGAACAGGTTGAGAGTGAAGGAAAAGGGAGAGGAGAACATGCCCAGAGTGAGAGAAGGAAGTCTCAGATGATCCCCTTGAGTCTCCCCGTCCACAACAGCCCAGAAAGATCTACAGAGACATTTGCAGTCATTTGCATCCGGGCATCCTGTATGTAGTCCCGACCTCAAGAGGCTGGGGTCCGTGGCCTGGCAGGGTGTGGGGTACAGGGCTGCCGGGCAGAACAGGGAAGGATCCAGTGTCTGCTTTTGCTGGAACCTGACGGCTTCCCAAGTGCCTGTTCGCACTCCTCTCCACTGGATAGATAAAGGAGTTGCAGCTCAGAGGGTGAGACATTTGCCCAAGGTCACACAGCCAGCCAGGATCAAGGTCGTGAAGGCCCAGGCACTCCCCCGTCCTCCACTGCACAGCAGCCAGGGTCCCAGTCAGCTCCCTGAGGACCAGTGAGCGCTGGACTCTCACTCCAGATCCGGGCTTTCTCCCCCACAGGGGCACCTGGCATCCGGACGGGCATCCGGGGCCAGAAAGGAGACCAGGGGGACCCCGGCCCCCCCGGCCACCCTGGCAACATGGGCTTCCCTGGGCCCAGCGGCTCCCCAGGTGCCCCTGGCATCCCGGGAGTGAAAGGCATCAAGGGCAACCCAGGAAACATCAAGGACCAGCCACGTCCAGCCTTCTCGGCCATAAGGCGGAACCCACCCATGAGTGGCAACATCGTCATTTTCGACACGGTCATCACCAACCAGGAAGGCCCGTACCAGAACAACACAGGCCAGTTCGTCTGCGCCGTGGCCGGCTACTACTACTTCACTTTCCAGGTGGTGTCCAAGTGGGACATCTGCCTGTCCATCGTGTCCTCTGCAAGGGACCATGCCCAGCGCTCCTTGGGCTTCTGTGATGCCAACAGCAAGGGAATCTTCCAGGTGGTGTCCGGGGGCACAGTTCTCAAGCTACAGCGTGGGGATCGGGTCTGGATTGAGAGAGACCCCGCCAAGGGCCGCATTTACCAGGGTTCTGACGTAGACAGCGTCTTCAGCGGCTTCCTCATCTTCCCGTCCACCTGAACCAGGGGAGGACCCTCCTGCCCCTGGCCTCACATGCTTCTTTGCTGTGGGACTCTGGCCCACTCACTCTACCTCTCTGGTTTCTCTGGTCTGCTCTGCATGGGGGTGCGGTTGCTTGAGCTGCCTAAAGGGAGAGGGCTGGCTACCAGAGCCCCTAGAACTTGCCGCTCACTGCACACTGTAAGAAGATTGATTTCTTAGAACTCTTCCTAGAATAAATACCTGAGTCCCTGTCTGTTGAGCATGTCTGTTGAGTTGCCACACTGGGCACTGGGAGGGAGCGTAAGAATGACAATTACAGAGTGCTTACGAGGCAGGCCCGTATTCTGTATTTTACAGCAGATCCTGGGAGTCCTAGGACCTCTGGCCACCACTTACCAGTTGGCCAACCCTGTGCATATTATATAACTTCAGTGAACTCAGTTTCCTTATCTGATAAATGGGAATAAAAATGGCACCCACTTCAAAGGGTCGTTGGGAAGACTGAATGACTTAATATATGAAAACTGCAGAGCAGCTCCTGATTCAGAGTAAGGACTGTGTATGTAAGTCTTGGGCATTATTATATTTTGTTTAATGTGTACCGCTGAGGGGTGAAGTGGGTATCACGACCCTATTTTATAGGTAACGAAACAGGTTGGAGCCTGGGGGTAGATAGAAAGCCCAAGATCAGTGTGTAAGGAGAGGAGCTGAGATTTGAACCTGAATCTTACTAGTACCCAAGCCTGCGTGTTTTACTGTGACCCTTGCCAGCCTCCAAGCCACAGCCTGACACATGCTTTCCAACCTTGAACCAGAGAGACATGGGCAGGACTCAGAGGGAGGGGGCAATTGGCTCAAGGGGGGCCAGCAGTCTTCCCCGGAGGCAGGTTTCCTGAGTCCAGCCCTGGGCTTCCACTGAGGCAGGAATGGAGGCTGGGGCTGCTGCGTGCAGGGCATCCCTCCCGGGCTGCGACTGACAAGGTCTGGAATTCTCATGGTGTGTTCCCAGCATCCCACTTAGCCTGTCCTGGAACCGCTTAGAAGCAGGAGCCTCACTCTGTCCTCTGTATGTGAAGACCACAAGGAGACCAGGAGTTCAGTCCTAAGGCCGTCCAATGCCCTGCACATTTTCTCAAAGGAAGCCGTCCGTACTTTGTGCTGTGTGCACGCCACACACCTGCACACCACGCACGCACACCCATCTTCCTCAAGATGCATGTGGACCCACATTCCTGGACAGAAGCCTGTCCACTGCCTACTGAAGCACGGGCATGGGGATCCCCTTCCTCAGCCCACATCCCACCCAGTCCCCTGGACGCACCGTGCTCACCCCTGGACATGCACACTAGTCACACCGTCAGACCCACAGATGTACTTGGGATACAGGTGAATGCAGGTGTACACGCCCTCCTCACCCTCCAACATGCACATGCCTTAGAAATGCCCTGTTCTCCCACATGCTGACCCTCTCACACCCTCCCAACTCACACCGGGCCATCCTCTGAGCCACTGAGACTATCTCTCCCACCCACTAACTGAAACACAAGCAGCCTGGGAGTCCTCACATATCACCGCCTCCCCAGTACCCTGGCCTCTGACATACTCCTGGGGCTGCCTTGTCCCCACCAGCAGCCTCTGGGGGTGGGAAGAAGACAGTGGACCCTCTGCAGCCCCAGCATAGTGCTGGACTCCTCACGGCCTCTCTGCCTCCTTCAGGCCTCCACTCTGCCCCAGCTCTCTGCCTCCCTCCCACAGACTGGGAAAAGAAACCCTCTCTGAGTACCTGCAATGTGCTGGACATTTCCTAGCCATCGATGCATTGGATCTCAGCAAGCCCTCTTAACTGAGGTTCAGAGGAAAGAGATCCCTATCCAAGGTCACACTGTCAGAAAGTGGCAGGCCCTAGATTTGAACCAGCTCTGCCTGACCCCAAAGTGGAGAGCCCCTTTCGTTGCAATGGGACTCAAATGTCAGGATTGAGGGCCCCATAAGTGGTGGGAGAGACCAGGCTACAGGAGTGTGAGTACAGGGAGTGTCTGGGTGCTCCTTATTCTAAGTTCCACCCACTCGCACACCACCCCCTCCCCTCCCCGGCGTTCCGTCCCCTCCCCCCATCTGCCTGGGAGGAGGGACTGGCAGAGCCAGGCTGGGGCTGGCTGCTGGGGCAAGGGCGGGCTGAGCATGGGCCGAGGCTGCCACCTGCTGGACAAGACAGACCCAGGCGCAAACGAGATGAGAAGACATGAGAACGGAAGATGGGATCCCCTGGTGCCATCTGGGTCCCCCGCCCAGACCAATGCTGTGTCTATATCATTTCTGCTCTTCCCAGCCCTCCACCTGCTGGGGCTTCCAGGGTCAAGGACATTCACCTCCGTGCATTCATCCCACACCCTGCAGCCCTGTGGAGGGGCAGATTGGGAGACTGAGGCCCTAAGGGCCAGTGAGTGGGGCAGGGACAGAGCCTGAAGGTCTGCTCCTGCCCGGCACTAGGCCAAGCACTGTGATGCATCATACACTGGGTCCTCAGCCCTGCCCTGCACGGGAGCTACTGGGACCCCTCATTCACAGAGGAGGACCTGATGCTCAGGGTCAAAGCCCTCACCCTGAGTGACACAGGTGGCAAGTGTGGGGTCAGGGCAGGAACCCTCTACTGCCTCCTCCTCAGAATCTCATAGGAGGTGATGAGGAAGAGAGAGGAGGAGCCTCTGGCAGCCTGGCCCCAAACAGCCACCCCTCACCAGCCACCTCAGGCTCCAAGACCAGACGCAGGGGTGCCAGAGCTGGTGCTGGCAGGGAGGCCGGGATCATCAAGGGCCCCAGCAAAGGAAGGGACACTGACGTGCAAAGCTTGGACCTCCGCCACCCACTCACCCAGTATACAGATGGGAAGACTAAGGCCTAGAGGAGCCAGTGGTTTGCTGAGGACCTCAGAGCATGGGAGTGGCAGGGCTGGAAGATCTGCCCACCACCGCAGTCTGCTTGCCATCAAAGCTTGCCCATCCTGTGTGCCTGCTCCCAAGTATAACCAATGGGAGGGGCAAATGGAAGTTTCTAGAATAAGGCCTGCCACTTGATAAGTGCATGTGAGGCTAAGCAGAGGCTAAGCAAGGCAAGATTCTGGACCCCAAGAATGCATTCACTGTGTAACTTTGGGTAAGGGCTTTCACCTCCCTGGGCCTCAGTTTCCTCATCTGTAAAGGGGGAGTTATAATTTCCTCCTAGGAATGTTGTAAAATAGCTGAGTCTCAGGCACAGTAAACGCCAGCATATAGAGATGGGCTGAACTGGACACACACACACATACACACACACACACACACACACATCCTTCACCAGATCCGGGGCAGGGGACATTTCCTCATTTCAGACGCTCATGATCCGGGGAGCGGGGTTGTGGGGGACGACACAGGGTCAGCCTGGCTTAGTGCCCAAAAGAAAGTATTGAGTCAGGAAAAATGATGGGAAAGGGGATGTGGGCCTGGGGGCAGGGGGAGCAGAGGGGAACGGGCCGCCCAGCCTGCTCTGGGCCCTCCCTGCTGTGTCCGCTCTGACACCGTGTCCTCTGGCTGGGGAGAGGGGAAGCAGATTTGCGGATATCGCTGTGACCAGACCAGAATCCTGCTACCTCCAGGTGAGACCAGGACCCCGGCCCGGGAGAGGGCAAATGGCAGTTTCCCCTACTGCCGCCCTGAAACATGGGGACAGCTTGATTTGTGAGAGGACGGAGGGTCCCCATCACTGCTGAGCTGAGGGCCCCGGGCTCAAAGAGGCCCATCCTCCATCCATCCTGTGGCCCCAGGTCCCAGGGGGCAAGGGGCCTGGGGAAGGGACCTATAGGCTCCTGAGGGCTGTCGAAGGACCAGTGAGGAGGGTGAGTGACGGGCCGGGACGGCCAGCTCAGCTCTCTCCCTGCCCAAATCCTTCCCCAGGATGGACACGGTGTCCAGCTCCCGGCCCCGCCTTGGACTAAACCTGCTGCTGCTCTTGCTGGCGCTGCCGCTTGGGGGCCAGGCCAGCACGAGCTGCTACGGGATCCCCGGGATGCCCGGCCTGCCGGGGGCCCCAGGGAAGGACGGACACCATGGCCTGCCGGGGCCCAAGGGTGAGCCAGGTGAGTCTGCTGGGCTGCTGGGGGTGGCAGTCACCTAAGGCCTGGGGGCGGCAGGCGGTGTCCATCTGGGGCTAACCTGGGGGAGGAGGACAGCGACTTAGTGGCAAGAAGTACAGTCCCTCGAGTCACACCTGCTCCCAGCCTTCCCAGCAGGCATAGCCCCTCTTTCCTCAGAGCCCAGGCCTCAGTCCTCCACGTTCCCCTCTTTGTGCCTCAGTTTCTCATCTGCCAACAGGTAAAGAACAAAACACCTGCCCCAGCAGGTGGCAGGGAGGATCTCAGGAGATGGTCCACCTGAAGACCTTTGGCAAACTCTAAAGTGCTGTGCTATCTTATTATAGATCCTCCACCACCTGCCTCGCAACACAGACCCCGGGATAGTGGGGGAGGGGAGGGGCCATGTAGGGAACACCCACAGTGCACAGATGGCCCAGCTTCAGTTCCCATACCTGTCACTTCCCTGTGCAGAGTGCCTCAGTCTCCTCATCTGTAAAATGGGGAGATAGTAGTACCTTCTGCACAGGGTGCTGGGATGATTAAGTTGAAACTAAAACAGCATCCGGCACAGGGTAGGTCTCAGCTATGTGTGTTACTGCTGTTGTCAGCACTGTTTCTATGGGAGGTCTGTGCTCACCTGGGATCCCGGGTAGCTGGGGGCATGGGGGGTGAGAAGTCAGGATTGCGGATTGATGGGGAAGCCCTAGCATGAGCAAAGGGGGCTGAGAACATGAAGGGGCACTGGGGCTGAGCAAGCGCTAGAGGCTGGGGCACCTTCTGTGTCAGAAGGTGCGTGTCTGGGGTGCAGGTGTCTCGAGCCAGCATGGGTGAGGCTGGGGTGAGTCTGGGCAGAAGTGATGTGGGGGTGGCAGAGGCAGAGGGGGTGGGGGAGGCCAGCGGCAAGGAAGGTCCTTGGGAATTTCCCCACTGTCATCTTCTCTCCTGGCAAGAGACTGGAATTTTGCCAACATTTCAGAAGGAATTCTCTAATTCAAGGTGAGCCAAAGGAGGCTCTCCGTTCTGCCATTTTTTGAGATCCTATGCCGCACGCTCCCTCTGGCCATCTCCCAGCGCAGTGGCTGATGGCCACCAATTATTGAGCTCCTACTATATATCAGCCATGGTTCCAAATGCTCAGCGTATGTTTACCTTACGGGGTAGATAAAATTGTTCACTCTCTTTTACAAGTGAGAAAACTGAGGCCCTTTTTAAAGCATCTGACTGCCATTTTACAAATGTCAAAGCTGAGGTTCAGAGAGATGGAGAAACTTGTCCAAAGTCACACAGTGGAATCCTGTCCAGCTCCCACGTGCCTTTGGTTACCACCTTCCCCTGCCTCTCAGGCCCCTCCCCGCTGCATGACTTCCCCCTCCCAATCAATTGCTGGAAGACTTGTGGAAGAATGAGACATGGCCCTGCGCCACTGACGGCCATCACCAGGAGCTGACCTTACCTCCTATGAGGCGCCCAGCACATGCATTCTCCCACTCCAAGCTTCTAGAAGCTCTCTGGGATCTGTCCTAGTACATCCTTTCCTCGATTAGGCAAGCAGCAGCTTGGGGAGGGAGGTCACCTGTCCAGGGTCGTACAGTTTTATCTTAGGTCTGTTGGATCCTAATCCCCCTCTCCTAACCCCAGGGCCTAAAAGGCTCACGAGCCACAGAGGATCTGTCACAAATGGTCTGCACAGATACCCAATCCTAAGGAGGTAGCAAGCGGCTGTGAGGGCTGCAAGAGCTGGCCAGAGAGGGCTTCCTGGAAGAGGAGACTAGAATCAGGCCCTAAACGATGAGTACAGTTTGGACTAGAGGAGAAAAATCTCACAGAGGCTCAAATAATCAGGGCTGTCACAGAATCATACGCTCTAACTGGGACTTGATTTTTGATCCTGACTCCGCCTCCTACCGGCTGCATGGCCTTGAGCAAGTCTCTGACCTCAGTTTCCTCATCTGTAACATGAGAGAATCTGAACCAGCCCAGGTGTCATCGGGGCTCCGGTGGGCCGCATAGGGCCAGGGGCGCTGGAGAAGTCAACCCCCTTGGTGGGGGCAGTTTCTGTTTGGCTCCATCCTGTGATTCCCACATGCCAAGCCTGTCAGGGGTAGTTCCATCTCAGGAAGGGATACAAGCATTGTGAGTCTCTGAGCTTTGTAAAATATTGAGGGCCCTCTTTAAAAAATAATACAAAATTACAGGTGCATTTGATTGAGGGGAAGGGGGCAGTTACACAAATCTACATATGCTACAAGATTGTATTAGAACTATACACACACACACCAATGAACGCATGTGCAACATGGAACTCTGTGGATTATCTGAAGGTCAGTTTTCCAGTTTTGATACTGTGCTTTAGTTATGCAAGACGTGCCACTCGGGAAAACTCAGCGAAGAATACACGGGCTCTTCTTGTCCTTTTTTTTTTTGGCAACTTCCTGTGAATCTATAATTATTTCAGCATAAAAAGCTGAAAAAAGTTTAAGCATAATGTGAGGCAAAGGGCCTTGAAGAGGCCAATGTAAGTTAATGGGACCTAAAGAGTAAGTTTTATGAGCCTTCCAGGAAATGGACCTCTGACCGATCTTCCGATTTTTTTCAAGAAACGCTAAGAAGCAACACTTTCAGCTGAGGTTTGGATCTGTTAATGTTGGGCTCTAAATAAAAAGCTTAATAAAAACACTGTGCAGGCCAAACAGAAGCCATGTGAGGTCACACACTGTCTGTGGGTTGACAGGACCCTGCCCGGCTCGGACACCTCCTGAGGCTGGCCAGTCCTGCCCTCCTCACTGTAAATGTGGAAACTGAGGCCAAAAGACAGGGGAGCACCTCGGTGCTCGGAGAGCAAGTCCACGGGGAGGCTCCCTCCCCTCTAACTCCCTGCCCGCTGCCCCCAGGTGATAGGCCATCTGGAGAAGGTTCCAGAGACTAAACTCTGGTGGAATGCCCCCTGGAGGACACCCCCAGGGTCCCTGTTCCTGTCCCTTGCCCCGTCACTTCCCTCCCACCTGCTCTCTCCTCAGGAATCCCGGCTGTCCCTGGAACCCGAGGCCCCAAGGGTCAGAAGGGAGAACCCGGCACACCTGGTCATCCCGGGAAAAACGGGCCCATGGGAACCGCCGGCAGCCCGGGGATTCCTGGCCTCATGGGGCCCCCGGGGGAGCCGGGCGAGGAGGGCAGATACAAGCAGAAGCACCAGTCTGTGTTCACGGTCACTCGGCAGACATCCCAGTACCCCACGTCCAACAGCCTGGTCAAGTTCAACGTAGCCATCACCAACCCGCAGGGGGATTATGACACAAGCACTGGCAAGTTCACTTGCAAAGTCCCAGGTCTTTACTACTTTGTGTACCACACGTCGCAGACGGCCAACCTGTGCTTGCAGCTGTACCGAAGTGATGTCAAGGTGACCACCTTCTGTGACCACCTGTCCAACAGCAAGCAGGTCACCTCGGGCTGTGTGCTGTTGAAGCTGCAGGTGGGTGAGAAGGTGTGGCTGGCGGTCAATGACTACAACGGCATGGTGGGCACTGAAGGTTCCGACAGCGTCTTCTCTGGCTTCCTGCTCTTTCCTGACTAGGCCAGTCAGGCCTCTTCCAGGCCCAGGGCCGCCCCACTTCTCTCAGCTTCCCTGCAAGAACCGCTGTGCCCAGGCCATTCTCCCCACCTGATGGACTCTTCCTCCAGGTAGCCCACCCTGACCTCCCTGCCCCAACCTCTCTCCCTCCTCTGAGCTCCTTCAGGAGTCACTGCTTTGAGACTTAACCAACACTCTCTAATACTGTCGATGGTTGTTTTCCAAGTCTCGGGAAAGGCAAGGTGATGTAATAAGTGAATAAATAAATAAATAAATAAATTGACAAATATTGCACGGCACAGGCTTCTCACTGCCAAGTCCTCAAAGAAGTGGGCCTCTCCATCCTCAGCTTTGCACCTGTCACAGCCATCCGTGGGCTTTAGACTCAGATGGAGCATCTACTTGGTATTCAGTTAAAGGTTTCTGCCACTGTTAAGACACTCAGTGTCCTGTGGCCATTTCAGCGAGAGGTGCTCAAGTGTGATTAATGGCCGCAAGAGGTCCCCAATGGGCCACCTGCTGTCCCTTGTTTGGGTGAGAGGTGCTACTGTCATTAAAGGTATCCATGCTTCCAGGTAAAAAAGGAGTGTTTGAATTCCCAGGCCTATGTTGACCTGTGTTGAATTTTGGTAGCACCTGTGGGCTCAGGTAAGCTCAATACAAAGAACAGATCTGTAATGAATATGTTCCCAATTAATCTGTGCCCAATTAATGAGTTCATTGGGGTGAATGAATGAATAATGGGTAAACGAGTGACTAAAAGCACAGTAAATGAATGAATGAATTTAAAAATCTTAAAAGCTTGTGTTTATTGAGCACTTACTATGCCCCAGGCATTATGCTAACCCATCTATTAAGTCATTAATATTCATCACCGTGCTCTGAGATGGGCATGAACCAGTGAGAAAGTGAGACTCTGTTTCCCCAGTTATCTAATCATCCCAAATACTGGCAAACTCTGGGAGCCTCCAGATCAACTAGAGCCATTGGGTGTTCAACGCCACCAGGCTTCCCCTGAAGACTCCTGACTAGCTGGCATGATCCTTGCTGGAGGATCAGGAGGCTGGACACGGGCCACAGCACCTTCACTGTGGTGACGCTGAGAAGGGTTGACCATTCAAGTTCAAAAATTATAAAAGCATAATGTTCCTGTGGAGATGGCCAGTCCAGCCTCGGAGACCAGGGAGACCCAAGGTTTGCTCAGGCCTCAGAGAACCTGCTCCAGCCTGGCTGGGAGCTCAGCTTGGTTCCGCAAGGCCCCATGGAGCTCACAGATCCACCAGCCCACCGAGGTGAGCTGTCAGAGCGGCGGCTGCAGCCCCATTCCACAACTACCGCCACCTGCTTCGGCTCCTTTGTTCGTGAAAGGAGACATTTCACACCCTCCATGGCTTTGTCGTGGTCCTACACAGCCCCCCATCCCACTCACACTAATCCTCACCCGTCTGGATAATACACACTCAACTGTCAGGCTTTGGCACAAAGATCACCCCTCCTCCACGGAGCCTTCCCTGATTCTCCCATTTGTGTCCCCACAGTGCCCTCCAGAGCCTTGGACCACAAACTCCTGTCTTTTTAGAGCCTAGGCTCCCCAACCTGGTGGTACAACAAGACCATCTGCAGATTCGTTTCCAGAAAAAAAAAAAAAAAGATTTCTGGAATCAAGGCTTTTTTCGTAAAAGTTTGGGGAAGACGGGGCTGTGGGTGAGTAGGTGGTTGGCCAGGTGAAGTCAAAGCACATGGTCCTCGGGGCTCCTGGGTGGCTCAGTCAGTTAAGCATCCAACTTCAGCTCAGGTCATGATCTCTGGGTCCATGAGTTCGAGCCTCACATCAGCTCCCTGCTCTCAGCGCAGAGCATGCCATGGATCCTCTGTCCCACCCCCCTCTGCCGCTCCCCCACTCGCACATACGTGCTCTCTCTCAGAAATAAATAAACATTTAAAAACTACAGCACATAGTCCTCTAACTGGCTTTCATGCATTTACTCACTGACACGTCTGCCTTCCCCACTGGGCGGTGAGCATCGCACTTTGATGCACGCCTGGCACATCGTAGGGGCATGATGCCAGATGGGAAGGAAGGAGGGCTACACACACACACACACACACACACACACACACGAGTGGGAAGAAGGGCCTAGGGACCCAGCCTCGTTCATAGGGTGTCTCTGGCCGGGTCATAGGGCCACTTTCTTCATGACTCTTCTCCATCAACCACTTAGCAGTCCGCCCAGCAGCGCCCCGAGTGATACAGCTTTCTTCTCATTTCTCTTTTGTTTAAAAAATCAATACACTGTTTATGTAGGCCACAGTGTCAGATCAGAAACCTGTACTTTGGAAGCGACAATTTTTGTGCCATTTTTATTTTCCGTAATTGTTTCCTTGTTGTTCTCTCTTTGTCGGGGGAGACATGCCTTTGAAAATGCCAGCTTGTCTGCTGGACTGAGGGAAACCTGGTGAGGTTTCCCCAGGGGTGGAGGTGGGGGGAGGGCAGGCCAGGAAGGGTGGGACCAGAAGAATTATAAGACATGCCAAGCCGCCAGGAATGCCTTTCGGACCACAAGATGTGGAGGGCTTATAGGTTTCTTCTCCCACCCTGGGTAGGGATCATCCCCTCTGTACCAGGGATGCGAGGCAATGATTTTACAGACACAGAGACCAGCTGGCTCCTGTTGAGAGGTCAAGGTCCAGAGACCCCTCCGCGCCTGGTGTCTGATCCGGGCATCACTCCCCGGGCACCTGGGCTCCAAGAACTCACCCTTCTCTTCCTATATATAGCACTGTTCCCAGGTTTGCACTGGGGGCCTACCAAAAGCTGGGCCCTGCACATGCCAGGTTACCTCACTGGCCCCCCACAACCCATGCTCCCCATCCACATATGGGGAGACAGAGGCCAATAAATGCTCCTGAGGCCACACAGCCGGAAAAAGGCAAAGGTGGGATTTAAACTCAGGAGAGGCTGATTCCAAAAGCCTATGCCCATACTCCCCTCCCTGCTTCTTTTGGTTCTTAGTTCCAAACCGTCTACCCCAAGCTCAAGTTCACCTATTCCCATTGCCACCAGCCATCAACGAATTAGAAGCCCAGGCCTAAGTGGCCCTCGGGAACCCACAGAAGGAGCCTGGACCCGCAACCTAGGACTCTACAATTTTGTCACTTCAGAGACCAGCTGGTATAGAGCTCCACCCTTCTCCCCACTCAGAACACACTGCCTTTCCCTCCTCATCTAGCCCGAGTCCCTTCGCATCTATAGTTGGCTGAGTCCAGAGACCTTTTTGTTTTATCAAACAAGTCTCTTTCCCTAACACCCACTGCTGGTAACACTTAATTTCCATCAATCAGCATCCACAAGCCCAAAGATATTCTATCTCCAAGCACAGATGTCAAGTAGGGCCCTCCTGCCCTGGTACTGGCTGGACAACCATCCCTGGGAGGGACCTCACAGTGCCTTACGTGCAGCCTCAACAAACAGGCTGATGCTGCGATATTTGCTCTGAGTTCTGCACCTGCCGCTCATATGAGGTGTGGGCTCCGGCCATCCCCGCTTTTTTCTGACTTGTATCACACATGCAACCACGTATCATTCAATGTTGAGCACCAGTCTCCCTGGTAGAAGGAATTCCCCACGGGGCCAAGAACCGTGGCTGGTTTGCTCGTGGCTGTGTCTCCAGCACCTGGCACGGAGAGGGTGTGATAAGTGTTTATTCTTTCTCCCCTCTGGGCCTCAGTTTCCCATACCTAAGGGGAGGGGAAGGAGCTGGGTGACCTCCAAGCCTTTCTCCAGCCCTGACTTGGTGTGATTCCAGGATCAACAAGCGATAAGCCCCTGCCTGTGCCCATTATCGTCGTCAGCTTCGAGCTCTGCTGGAAGCAGAGGAAGGGCTATAAATAAATAATGACCACATTTAAAATTCATTATTAGATAATTTTCTGAGAACAGGGCGAGAGCAGAAGTGCAGAATGGGAAGGAGGCAGAAAAGATGAACCCAGAAAAGGGAAGCCTGAGACATGGCGTGACATTAACAATTGACATGTGCAGTGCACTCTATGGCTTGCCCTCTGAGATCCCAAATAAACTTCCCGGTGCCCCATGCCATCTCTAGAGCAAGTATAGTCCCATCATAGAGCAGAGGAAATTGGGGCTCCCTTGGGTTCTCTTGGCTGAGAACATTTAGATGCCCGTTTGAGACTCAGGAACCAAACTCTCTGATGAGTGGCAGTGCCAGGACACGAATCCAGATTTCTGACTCCAAATCCAGTGCTCGGGCACAAGGACAGCCATGTTCTCGTTTCAGTGAGGAACTGCTATGTCTGCTATAGGGGATCACAAGGTCAGGGGCCTTGGCACACAAGCCACCAGTTGCGGACATTCTCCCCGGACAGCCTGTTTCCCCAACAGCTGCTGAGCTGGCGAAACCCAACTGGCCACCGACCCACCCCACTTACAGTAAACCCCTCCAGATTGCAGAAATGGGGCCTGAAACCACCAGATGGGCTGAGAGTGGAGGGGGCCGTCCTGCTGGGCCCAGGGGAGGGGGCCCTGGGGGGAGGCCCTTCCTGTCTCTGGAGAATGGAACTTCCGCTTTGGACTGAGGGCAGCAGGCTCCTGGCTCCCGGTCCTGCTGCTGCCCAGCTGAGCGGCCCCACAGGACACCAGGTTACAGGTGAGGATGGGGCTCAGTACCTGGGGGGGACTGGCCAGCAGGACAATATGGCGGAAGGTGATGATTCCCAAAATGTAGCCTTTGCATCCCTGCCTCGGAGTCACCTGGGGTGATCAACAGTGTGGACCCCCAGGCCCAATCCCAGACCTGGATTGGGAGCCAAACTTCCTGCGGGTGCATCTGGGAGTCTATTACTACCCAGGGTCCCAGGTGGTGATAGCAGCTTAAAATGGGAGCCACCAGCATAAGGGCTTTGGAATCACCAAGAGTCAAGCTGAGTCCTGCTTCTGCCTCTTAGATCCTGGGGCAACTCATGTAACCTCTCTCAGCCTGTACCCTGTCTGGGAATGATGGAAACTTCTCGGGGCCCTCAGAGCCCTGAAAGAGATTAAGCTCACCCAGTGCTTAGCGAACTACCTGGTTCAAGATATGTCAGAGGCAGAGGGGGGATTAGAACCCAGGTCCCCCTTCACCCAGCCCAGCATTTTTCCAACACCTGCCTTCTCCTATTTCCTTTTGGTTGCTGACAAAGCTCAGCTTGGCTCTTTCAAGGAACTAATTTGCCTCGTAGGTGGAGTTGCAGCTGGTGATTAGTCGGTACTAAACTAATTGCATGTTTGTAAAGGAGGGCGTGGGATCAGACGCCACACGGGAGACCTCATTCCTCTTAGGCTCCATCTCTTTCCACCCTCTGGCAGCCCTATCAGGTGGCAGTTAGCTTTGCAAAAGAGGCCCAGAGAGGTTAGGGCACTTGTCTGAGGCCATACAGAGAGGTGGCAGTTTGAAGTCACATCGGTCTGACTCCAAGTTGGGGAAAAGGAACTGTCGGGGCTGGAAGGAGACGGGAGGGCTTGGTGACATGGGAAAGATGTGACGGGCAAGGCCGGCCGCCGGTGGTGATGGATGGCGAGGGCATGGCTCACACCAGATGCCCAAGTCTGAGACTCATTGGCCCCTGAGATGGATCTTGCCACTCCCCCTGCCACCTTCTGCTTCCCCAGGAAGCTGAGTCTCGCTGTGGGTGTGGACCCGCTGTCCCCATCACCCCGACCCCCTGTTGGCTGCTCTCTACCACTGGGCTGTATCCACCCGAGTCCTCTCCCGGGGCCCTGTCTCCCAAAGGGGCTGTGGCTCCTGCTTCACTTTTCCAACCATCCTCCGTCATATCCCAACACTTGGGGATTCTTGGGTGTCAGGATAATACAGAAATAGCGAATATTCCTTGAGCATTTGCAGCATGCCAGGCGCATCCATCCTCCCACCAACCCTGAGCAGCAGGGATTATTATCCCCATTTCATGGACGGGGAAACTCGCCAGAGAGGAGAAGTGAGTTAGTTGCCCAAGGGCCTCCCTGGGGAGCGGCAGAGGTCTGATTTGGTTCCTGGCAGCATGGCTATGCTTCTGACACCAGAGGTCTCTCACCACTGCCTCTGGCACATCCTGCTCAGTGGGCAGCAATGGCAGCATGAACAGTAACGATAAAAGCCTCCTTCACGGAGCGCCCGCCCTGTACCCTGTGCTGCTCAAAACACAGCCACTCATTAACCCTGTCAGACTGTCTGGCTCCAGAGCCCACGTTTTAAACCACCAGGCTTCACAGCCTCCTAACAGAACACCCTGTGAGTTTTAAGGTCCAGTGGAATCCCAGCCGTGAGGCAGCTGTGTGACCTTGATGGAGGTTCCTGCCCTCTTCAGTTTCCCATTCTGTAAGGAGAGAGCCGGGTGCTTTATTCGGTGTGGCGGGGAGAGGGAGGCTGTTGTAAGGACCGCATTAAATGAGATAGTGGCACATAAAGTATTTGGCCCAGAGCCTGGCTAAGTGCCCAGTGCATGGATTGCTGAAGTTGTCAAATCTGCCATTCTGTAAAACCTCCAGGAGCTGGTACTTATGCAAACCGTTTTAGGTTAAATTTATATTATGTGAATGTCACCTCAATTTTTCAAAAATCTTTGGACTGGATGAATCTTAAGGGCCCTTCTGTCTTGAGAATCAACGCTAAGGGGCGCTGGCTGTGCCGACCAGCTCGGCTCTTCCTATTCTCCGCTATTCAGGAGGGGCTGGCGCTTCCCTCTGGCCAGGGCCTGTGGAGGGACCTGAGAACATCCCATCAGCAGAGATGGCCTGAGGTGCTGGCAGGGACACTGGCTTCAGTGCCAGACAGGCTTGGGTTGGAATCTTGGCTACAGTCCTTCCTATGTGACCATGAGCCTGTGTCTTGGTCTCCTTGAACCTCAGGGTCCTCTTTGGTATAAAAATAATAGCTTCTTCCAGACAGAGCTGCTCTGAGGATGTCAAGCAGCCCAAAGCCCGCAAATCACAGCCTTGACCTCCCATCCCTCTGACCCCTCACTCCTCTCCGGCCACACTGGCCTCCCAGCTGGTCCTGACACTCCAAGCTCTCTGTCTGCCCTATAGCCTTGCCCCCAATTCCTTTCCTTCCTGAACATTCTTGCCCCATTCCTTTCTGAACCTCTGGGTCTTGGCCAGAGACGCTGCCTCCATCTAGAAAACTTTCCTAATGGGAGGACTTCTCTCAGGAAACCATCCGCCTGCCCCTCAAACCTGGTTACTCTCCCTCCAGCACCCCTGCATTTCTTACAGAGCACTCCACACAGTCTCTATTTCCACTGACTTGTATGTTGGCTTGTTTACTGTCTGCCTTCCCCTGGACGGCCAGCTCCGTGAAGGCAGGGGCCATGTCTGTCTTACCCCAGCACCCAGCGCGGGGTCTGGTCTGATAGCTGAGACACACTCGGAGAACACATGAACGAGTGATTGAACGAGTGAAGAAATACAAGGAGTCCCCACGGCGGTAATCTCCTCCACCTTCTCGTCCCCCGTAGGAGGCAGCTGAGCCAGGGCAGCGATGAAGACCCTGAGGGATGGCGTTCTAGCATTCCTGCTGCTTCTTGCTCTACTTGGGGTCTCCCTGGCCCAAAGCGACTGCACCGGACACCCGGCCATCCCCGGCATCCCCGGCATCCCCGGAGCGCCGGGCTCTGATGGCAGACCTGGGACCCCAGGCATAAAAGGAGAGAAAGGTACTGCAGGCTTTGGGGTTACGCTCGTGTCATTGAGCAAGACCCCATCTCCTGCCTCCCCCATCACAGCCGCCTACCTGAGAGACGGCAAAAGTACCCACAAATCCATCAGCTTGCCCAGGCCCACTCCCACCCTGACCCGTGCAATGACTCGGCAAGGAGGGGATTCTGATTGCCACTTTACAGCTGGAAAAACTGATGCCCAGTAAGGCTACTGGCTTGCCCAAGGGGGCCCACTCAATGTTGAGGCTGAGACCAGGCCATGACTCTTACCCCTAACATGGGGGTGAGAGAGAGAGAAAAACACTGCAGTCAGTTACATAGCCCTAGGTCGCCTCCCGGGGAAGTGGCTTCCTCACCCCTACGACACAGGCAGATATTCTGTGGGGTTGTCACAGGGTTCAAAGGAGACTTCCCGCCATGAACCCCTGCCCCCGCCCCCAGAAAATGCAGTTCATTCGCTCACTTAGCCAAAACCAACCAACGTTGTCACATAACTGCATGTAACCCTCGCAATCTCACAAACAATCATCAGCCCCATTGTACAGAGGAGGACACTGAGTCCCAGAGAATGTGCCTCCATCGAGGTGACACAACTAGTAAGGGCAGGTGTGGCAGGAGAAGGACATCCGTCTGTCCCCTGGGCCTGTGCTCTCAGCCACCGTACTCCACCACTTTACCGGAAAAGGGGTTTTATCTCGCGCTGTGCCCAACAGAGGGGCAGCGGCTGCTTAGAGTGGCCGTGAGAAGCCTTCCAAGGCCCACTTCCAGCCCACTGCACCGGAAAGAATGCCGGGATTGATTAAAGATGTCTGCCCTGGGGGAGCAAGTGGAGAGGGATCACACATGTGCCAAGAATTCATTATCCCTGCTCGAGGCAGTAAGCCCGAACAAGGGAGCCTGGATGAGCTGGTGAGGAGGGCAGGCCCAGCACCTGCTCTAAGGAGACACCACTCTCCACACCTCGGGCATCAGTTCCCACTGCTGTCAGGGACATCGCAGACTCGGAAAGCTGGGCTGGACGGAGAACCTCCTCCTTTCTACCCCAGGGAAGCTGAGGCCCAGAGAGAAGCAGGGACATGTCAGAGGTTACACGGCCAGGCTCCCTGCTTCCCAGCCCAGGGCTCCTTCCTGTGGTTCTCACCCATCTCTGGCCCATCATTTCTCTCGCCTCTCCTTTTCCAGGGCTGCCAGGGCTGGCTGGAGACCATGGCGAGTTCGGGGAGAAGGGAGACCCAGGGATTCCTGGGAAACCAGGAAAAGTAGGTCCCAAGGGCCCCACTGGCCCCAAAGGTTCCCCAGGACCCCCCGGAGCCCGTGGCCTCAAGGGGGAATCAGGAGACTACAAGGCTACACAGAAAATCGCCTTCTCTGCCAAGAGGACCATCAACAGTGCCCTGCGGCGGGACCAGGCCATCCGCTTCGACCAGGTGATCACCAACATGAACAACAACTACGAACCTCGAAGCGGCAAGTTCACCTGCAGGGTGCCTGGCATTTACTACTTCACCTACCATGCCAGCTCGCGAGGAAACCTCTGTGTGAACCTCATGCGGGGCCGGGAGCAAATGCAGAAGGTGGCTACCTTCTGTGATTACGTCCAGAACACCTTCCAGGTCACCACGGGCAGCATGGTCCTCAAGCTGAAGCAGGGGGAGAATGTCTTCCTGCAGGCCACAGACAAGAACTCCCTGGTGGGCATGGAAGGTGCCAATAGCATCTTCTCTGGGTTCCTGCTCTTCCCAGATGCAGAGGCATGAGCTGTGGTGCTGGCTGCCTCCCTCCCCAACCCTGCCCCGCCCCTGCAATGCTCACTTTACCCCCGACACTCCCCCACCTAGCCAAAACACACAGAAGGGCTCCATGGGTGTTGCTGAATGAATGAGTCAATAAAATTTTCAAAGGCCAAGGAACAGTGGTCTAATTCAACTCTGCGTCCCAGCAGCTGGCACATAGTAGGTGCTCAGAAATGCTGCTTAAATGCTGGTTGGATGACTGAACAATAAATGAATGAATGAATGAATGACCTCTGAAAACAGAAACTGTTATCTGATTGGAGGTGGCTGGAGAGCCAGATTCTGAGCCCAGCTCTGTGACAGCCACATAGTGGGAGATGGGGAGGGAACACCAGCTAGTGAGCAACTCCGATGCTCCATGCACTGGGCTAGACCTTTTCATTCTCTCATGAGTTCTCACACTCATCCTGGGAGATAGGTTGCATTGTGCCCCATTTACAGAGGAGAAAACTGAGCACCAGAGGGATGAAGGGACCATCCTCAAGCCCATAAGCAGAACTGGCTCTGCCCACTGCTGATCCGAGACCTCTTTTGAGAGAACACAGATCGAGGCCAGCCACTACAGAGGTTTCCTGCTTATAAAGGTCACATACCCCCTCCCCACCCCCCACCAAGGGATCCAGGGGTCTTTCCCCAACGTCTTAACTCACCGTGAAATCAAGACCCTTCCCCTCTTGATTCTCCTCACATGCACCCCGCCCCCCAAAATCTTCCCAGCCTGGCACAGGCTCAGTCATGCAGTTAGAACAAATGCTCTAACTTCCAATAACCTGCTCAGTAACCTTCAGTGGTTCTACACTGCCAACTGGATCTAGCCCCAGACCTTGAGCCTGGCCTTCAAGGCTCTCAATGGGCTGGCCTTCCAGTCTCACTCCTTCCTCTCCTGGACAATCTCTACTCCAGATCACCGGACCCTCTGTCTTCCAGGCAAGCCCCATGCCATCCCACCTCGGTTCCGTTCTCCGCCTATCTCACCGTCCTCCACGGTTTCCACATCCTCAGTCTCATCCCCCTGTAGCCAGGGATCCCTGCCCTCACTCTTGTCTCTCCTCCGACCTCACCCAAGCCCATTCGTCACGTGTGCAGGTCTGAGCACATATGGTCTGCATGTGGCTTTTCATGCATGCCCACCCCATCTGCCCAGCTAGGCGGTAGGCTCCTCACCCCGCCCGTCTCTCAGCCTCACAGAGCCCAACACGCACAGAGCCACTCCATAAAGAAGTGGTGCCTGATGGGCCAAGTACACAGGCATAGACCCTCCAGAGTCCCAGCCCCACACCTGCTCGCGGCAGCCCCTCCTACTAGCCCTGTTCCACCGAGACCAATCCTGACCTGGGCTGGGAGGGATTTTAGGCACCCTGGCCTATCACACAGGGTCATAGCCCCCAGTCTATTTGGAGGCTGACCTGTTTCTCAGGTCTCCAATCACTGGGTGCAGCTTCTGCCCATCTCCTGGGCCTCAGGCCTGGCGTTGATGACTTGCTCCAACCCCAGACTCTCCAACAGGGACTGGGAGCCTTTACCCCGGGGGCTGGGCCTTCTTTTTGCTGTTCAGTCCTTTCAGTACAAAGCGTCTTCTTGGCCTCCAACTCCAGTATATAATAACCAAGCCACAGCCTAGTAACTGTGCCCTGCTGCTTTGCGTACATCCGTTCATTCCATTCCCACTGCAAACCCTAAGAGGTACCAAGTATTAGCCCCATTTCACAGATGGGGACCTGAGGCTCAGAGAGAGCAAATGGTTAGCTCAGGGTCAGTAGCGGCGGGTACACAGCCAGGATGGGAGCCTGCTTCTGTCTGTCCCAGAGCTCTTGCTCCACCTGCAGACACGCCACCCCCCTGACACCCACATCTGTTGGAACCCCCTTCACAGAGTGAGGCCTCCTCCGCAGCTCCCAGCCTCTCACCCAGACGCATCGGACCTTAGGATTCTCGAGCCTCGGCAGTTGGGTCTGTCCGTGGGGGCTGCACGTCACCCCGCGGGCAGACCTGCCTGCTGGTGTCCAGCACATGCGGGACAGCCCATCTCGCTGCAGGGACCCAGGCAAAGCCGCCCGTGGCCAAGGAATGAGCGTCTGTCTCTAGCAGTGCCTCAAGCCGGCGGACCCTCCTCCTCCGACTCCCGGCCCTGCAGCCTCTCTCCCACCAGAACCACCCCTACCCAGGCAGGATCCTGTTAACAGGGGCCCCTTATGTGTCCTTCTCAGACAACCCCCAGCTCTGCAGAGATCCAGGGCTCCCTGCACGTCCAGCCATGGACGTATCAGCCAAACATACCTTACTTTACACAAACGTGAATACATCGAAACCCTTTGCCTTTACTATTGCTCTCTTCCAGCCAGCGGGGAGGGTCCACCTCTACGGCTCTCTGGGGAGATGGCTGGGCTTTCAGCATGGGAACCAGAACTAGGGTAACAGGGGAGCCCTAGGTGACCCCGACAGCTCTCAGGACCTTGCCTATCTCATCGTTGCTCAGATGCCGCCTTCCCCTCTTTGCCCCCTTCTCATAGGGAATGGGCATGGGATTGAAACTCAGCTCTCCTGGCCGGGCTAGGAGCTGGGCAGGGGAAGGAAGGGAAGTGGTTGCCCTCAGGCCTGTGACCCTTGACCTTCGTGCGCCCCCCTTGACCCCGACTCCCAGCCCTCGGCATGCCAGAGCCCTTTTAGTTGCGAGTGACAGAAACCTCTCGAACCAACGTAGGAGCAAAGGAGGAACTTAATCAGGAAAGCCCAGAAGTGTCCTACAGGGCCCAGGGGAAATGGGACAGCCAGTCCCCACGGCCATGGGGTCCACACATACACGGATGGCCCCAGCCCAGGACCGTCTGCAGACTGGCCCTCTCAACTGTTAAGGCAAGCGGAGAGAAATGGAGGTCCCCAAACGACAGCCTTGCCTACCAAGTTAGTCCCTGCCCCTCATGAGAGTGACACGGAGACTGACATCTCCAATTCCCAGGTCCTAGGAGAGGGTCCAACTGGTCCACGTTGGAACAGGGACACTCCCCATCCAACCAGCTGAGGCCAGGCAGGAGCAAGCCTGTAGCAATAATAACAGCAGCTCATTATGCCTGAGTTAAACTATTTCTCCTGTAATAGTCACAGCAAGACTGAGGAGTAGTGATTCTGATCCAGTGGTTCCAGACTCCTCGAGCATCATGGTCCCCAGAAGGGCTTGCTGGAATTAGCATCTTCTCAGAGCTCCCGTGTCACGTTGCTGCTGCCGTTGCTCAGGACCACACTTGAGGAACCACTGCTCTAACTTCCTGCTCCCATTCTGTAGATAAGAATACCGAGGCTCACAGAGGGCATGTTACCTGCCCATGTCACATGGAAGATCTAGGATTTAAATCCAGGCCGATGTAACCCAGCGGTCCGTGTGTTCAGCTCGCCCGGACTTCAGGGGCCCAGGCCTGAGCGGGTGGGGGCAGATCTCAGGGCAGGATGGGCAGGCCCTGCGGAATGCCTGCATCCTCCTGGTGCTGGTGACACCTCCGCTCCAGCCGATCCTGACCAGTGTGCTCCTCCCAGTGACCCACAATGCTCCGAGCCAGCTAAGAAGAGGAAAGGGGGAGGGGAGTAAGGAGCAAAGATGAAGGAAGGTGTGGGCTTCGTGAGTGACGATGATAACAGCCCACACGGCACACAGCTCTAAGCTCTCATGTTAACTCTTGTGACCTTTGCAATTACGTTCCGCTTTCACCAGTAAGAACACTGACACACAGAGCAGCTAAGTGACTTGCCCCACATTGTGCAGCTGGTAAGTAACAGAACCAGGATTCAACACAGGGCAATTCAGCACCAGAGGCTATGTCTCCGTCACTGCCATGCAGCAGCAGGTGGGAAAGCGTCCTGATGGGTTGTGTAGTACAGCAGTTAAGAGCACCAGCTCTTGAAGCAGACAGATGCAAGTTCAAGTCCTGCCTGGGCTTTACCAGCAAGGTGACCCTGTCAATCGACTGCCCCAGTTTCCTATTTTATGCTCTTACAAACAAACAATGTAGCCAAAAGCATCCTCACACGCATCCTTGATTCTTTTCTCAGATTAAATTCCTAGAAGTGGACTCCCTAAGGGCAAGGATGTGCACACTTTGAAAGCTTTGAAATATGTTTCCTAAAGAAGGGATGGGCAGGCAGTTAAGGCTGAACATGCCAGGCCACCACCAGGGGGGAGCAGACATCGGGAGAGGGGCAGCCTGGAAGAGGGGCTGGCGGGTGAGACGGGACCCAGATGGTGGGGCTCCCACCACTCGCAGCCTGGGCTGTGGGTTTCCAAGGTGGGGCAGAAGGTCAGTTTTGAAGACTCGGTGTCCTCGAGTGGTTCCAGCATCAGTATCAGCTGGGAACTTGTAAGAAATGCAGATTCCCGAGCCCCAAGCTGGCTGACTCAGAAACTCTGGGGACGAGGCTTGCCGTCTGTGTTTCCACAGCCCTCCAGGTGACCTTGGTGGAGCTAAAGCATGAGAATTACTGCCGTAGACCAGGGGTAGCCAAACTTCTTCTGTAAAGAGTCACAGAGGCCTATTCCAAGCTTTGTGGGCCATACAGTCTCTGTTGCAACTACTCAGCCCTGCTTCTCATGCCCAGAAACAGCCAGAGATACTATATAAACAAATGAGGACAGCTGTGTTCCAATAAATCATTACATACGCTGGCATTTGAGTGTTATATTGTTTTCACATGTCACAAAATATTTTTCTTTTGATTTCTCTTCATCCATTTAGAGATGTGAAAGCCATTCTTAGGTAGCAAATTGCACACATCTGTGGGCTAGGTTCACCAACCTGCTCCAGACCCAGGTATGGTTCTAGGCTTAGAAGAAGAGGACTAGGAACTCGAACCCACAACTCCCTGACTCCCAAGCCGGCGCACCTTCCATGAGGCTGGTTTGCAGAATTCCAGCCTTGGGACACTGACAGAAAAACTCTCTGGGTCTCCTTGCCCTTGACTGTGAAGTACACATTGCAAACCCCTGTTCTCTAGCTGATTACTTAACCTCTCTGGGATACGGTTTCCTCATCTGTAACATGAGGATGATCATCATATCCACTCCAAGGAGCTGATAAGGCTTGAAATGAGATTCTATGCGCAAAGCCCATGGCACACAGGAAGTCCT